TCCTTAATTTTAGCGGTTGAATTTCAACCGCTGGGCGAACACTAGTAAAAGTAAAAGCACGAATTTCGATGTGAAGTAAAACTCTCTAGGAAGACAATACCTGTAATTATTGTACCATGGTTTGAAAAACCCTGACCGCAGGATTTATTTTGAAGGACTTTGTAATTTCAAAGATATTAATAATTCCAGAAATTATGAAAAAATTCAATGCAATGTAGAATAAAAATATGGGTAACAAAAGCAATAGGAATTTCTTTAGAATTTAAAAAAATTGTTGTATTCACCAGGACGAATAGGTAATTTTTAAGCTGACAAAGTTAGAAGAACGAAATTCGAACAAATATTGCGAAATTTCAAGGATAAAATTTCCCGGGATCCCGGGATTAACATTCCTAGTCACTAGTGAGCGAACCTTTAATTATTAAATGCTCAGAACCATGATAAAAAAGAATGTTTCAATAAACAACTTTTTGGCGGATACTGAGATTTTTGAAGCTTCATAATTTGTTCATGTTGCTAGCAGTGTTACCATATTGTTAATATTCAAAAATAAATTAAGGAACTTCGAGATGCGGATTTCTTTCACAGTAAATAGGTGTGAATATTTTAGTCTTCTTAGATGAAACCAAACAGTACATATGTATTGACAATATGTACATACAAAGAATGCAATTTTACTTCAAAATGCAACGGATAATAGCATACCCCAAAACTAAAAATAATTTCTTGTATGTATGTTGCGTTAACATTACTAAATATTTTTATTTAATAAATTCAACAAACTATGAAGACATTATTTTTCTCATCTTTTTATTTTTTTATTTAATTTTGTTCTCTTTTAACTTAAGATTTAAATATCGAATTTGAATAAAACATTTTACAGTCCTTTCCTCGAGAGTTACATTTTAATTGTACAATAGATTAAAAAAAATCGGACTTGTTAACTTCTTATTAACTAATCAATGTTGAGAACAAATATACAGATATTTTAGAAGGCTTTCCTTGCTTAAGCCGCAGGGGCCTCAAGCCCTGTACCGTCTTCCTTGCAGCGGTATTTTGTATTTTTGCAACTTCCAAATGCGCAACTCATTTTTGTTTTCAGTATTTTAAAAAATAATTTTATTTTTTGCTTTGTTGACCAAATTCTTTTCAGAAAAAATGTTATTATAATTTTCAATCTGGTAGCTTGATTTTGATGAAAATGTCATAATCTCAGCAAAAGTCAAATGGCTAACATGGCTGCTAATGTCATTAATTGGCAGGGTGTCCAGATTGTTAAAAAAAGCGCAGTTTCTGAAAAAAAGTCGCCAAAAATTGCCAATTATTATTTTTTAAACAAAATTCATGAAATCGATATAACAAATCTTTTATTTTAAAAATGACATATTGTTATAATATAGTTTTTAAAACCAAAAACGAATATAATACCTTCAGAGTGTAATAATATATAACACAAATCACTTATATAATAGTGATGTACAAACAATTGTCTTTAAAAATACTCATACTTTTTAAAAAGTATTTGTTTCAACACATTTTGCAATTGGACTGCGAAATTATTAAATTAAAATTTAAATTTAAAATAATTGATTAATCGCACAATCCGCTTTTAAGAGCTCGGCGCTAAAAATTAAATAAAAACCTATAATAAGGCGAGATTAGCTATTTCCTCAATCTGAATGCATTACATTTCTGTTGTTGTCATACATTGAGGTATTCAACCTTGATAACATACTGTTTGATATTGGAAACGTTTTGCAGCAGAAACTATTAGCCTTCATAAATATAACACTTTATTCGAACTACTGAAGTAAGGCTTTCCAACCTCATCCTATTTCGAATCTTAGTTTTTGTTGAATCCATTACGGAAAAAACGCGCTCAACAAAGCATGTGAGTGCGACAAGGATAATAATATGAATTTACTTATATTTCCAAACATTTTATTGCCTATTGCGGTTTTCACTCCGTAATTATCCAAAATTCTTCAGAGTCAGATGGAATGGTTCTGAGAAAAGTTATTCCATGGGAAAGTTAAAAGATTTAAATAATCAGTTTCCGCTGCTTTTCTTTCCTTCAAAGTCAAATAATGAATTGGCAGGCCGCTGCCACTTTTCTGGTGACAAAATCAAAGCTTTTTTAAAAGCATTTAATTGGCAAGGTACTCGTTTCAAAAGTTCTTCGATTAAAGTGATTAAACATTTTTGACGGTCTTTTAATATGCTTCTTAAGTCAAGTTTATCACGCAGTTCATTAGCCTCTTCTGTAGAATTATCGTGGAAAACTAAGTTTTGTATATTTGTATAATTGGAAAAAATTTATTTGAAAGGAAAAAATTCGCCAAAAAATCGCCAAAGGCGATTTCCTAAATTTTTACGCGCAAATATCTCAAAAAAAATCGCCAAATTGGCGCGAAATCGCCAAATCTGGACCCTCTGTTAAATGAAACTACCTTCTTTTTACCTTCCTTCTATTAGCTCGGGAAGTAACTATGTAATATTGATGCGCCTAAAAATGCAGCGATTTTTATTTTCAAGTTACATACCTGATGACAGAACGAATGGCAATTATAATAGGGAGGTTTTAGATTTTAAACTATAATTTTTATTTCTACCATGGTCAGAACAATTTTTTGTTTGCCTTTTTGTCACATGTCGTATGCTGCGTGAATCTGGCATACACAATTTTGGTAACAAATTTTTTTTGTCAAAATATCCAGAGCTTTTTTTTTCCTTCTCAAGAATTCTAGAACTATTGGAACGTTGCCCAGAACATCTTTTTTTTGTCGCTCTGCGCCATACCGTATGCCAACTTCCCAGACAGGAAAATACGTCCACACGCAACGAAATTCCATATGTAGGTTTGGATGGTTAGTAATATTTTCGATGAAATAAAAACACTTCCATTTTATGAATTTAAGTCTAAATAACAAAATTTATTTTTATAAAAATACAGTCATAACTTATAGGGATTAAATCAGTTCCAAAGAGACTTAATGTATCATTGACATTAATTCACTTTTCAATTGTGTATTAATGTCAGCGACATAAATTCCATTGACATTATTGCTCGTCACCGAAAATTCAGTACTGTCCTTCCCAAATCAGTACGTCTGGCAACCGCAGCACGGAGAAGAAACCAACTTTTCCTTGAGTTGTGAGAAAAACAAGTAAACAAATTTAAAGGCTAATAATCTGAGATTTGCCAGTTTAATCGGAGTAACTAACCATCGAGCTTTGATTGAGATTACATGTACTTTTTAAGCAAGAGCAAGAGAGTAAATAAGTTTCTCGACAAACTCCTCTAACACTAAAGCGTGATAGGCAGACGGTCAGTCAATGCGAAATATCCTTGCGTTTTGCATAATAATTCACACTTTCAATTAAGATACTCATGGTACAGATATTATAAACCGATGTTAATCTAGTACGATATTTAAAAAAGTGATGTACATACATACATAAGTACCCAGTAGAAATCGGTTGTATGTATTCATGAAGTATGCATGCTGTATGAGCAAATTATTGTGAACAATTCATACGTAGTCATGAATTTCCACAAATAAATTCAAATTCTAGCGAATTGCAAGCGAACGTACGTTGTTGTTGTTTTAAGTACACTTCTTGATAAATTTGAAGTTGAATTTTTGTAATATTTTCAGTCTTGTACAAAAATTTTAGCGTGTTGTGCGATAATATTTTCAGCACCAGCAGGCTTTTACAAGATATGCATTTGCATAAGTAAATGCTACTTTTTTGTATGTCTCCGTATATTAAAATTTATCATAAAAGTAACATTTACATATGGCGATACATATGTATCTTGTAAGAATGATTTAATACTGTTCCATTAATGCATTTTTGTATGTTCGAAACACTAATACAGCCATATGCATACAGCAGTAGTACAAGTGTATGGTTAGAGTATGCATACGCTCTGAGAAACCACACGTGTTAAATGGAAATGAAGGTTCATTTATACTGGCATGTATACACAGCAGCAAGCTCATGCCACCAACAGCGGTCGTATGCATAAAATTTCTACTGGGTAGTTTTGTAAAAATGGTTTGAGTACTTACTTATCTAAGTGTATTTCCACTTGCACCATTAGTGGTTGTTTTACGAGTAGGATAGTATTAAGCCAGTACACTTTTTCTTTCAATTGTAAGCGCATTTCGCAAATAGAGCTTTTGATATTGTCCGGCTTGAAATTTAGTTGCATAATCAAACTATAGGGGTCTTCGCCATATTTAACCAAGAAGTTGCTATATGTAAATGCTTGAACACGTCGATATGAGGCATTAAGAGTTATAGTTTCAAATGAACCACTTTCTACAATCATTTTTAGCATTTGAAGTCGTGTGCTATAATCCTTATATTTCGATTTGATGACAATATATTGTTCAGTAAACCATGTGCCGTTAAAATTTATCTGTAGGGATTGGAAAATACATGTATGATTAGCTTTGTTTTAATTGATTCACATATGCATTTAAATTAAAATAAAGATACGATTACATAAATTTTTTAGAATTACACGTATCGTTCAGTGAACAGTACACTGACTACTTACCACTCCGGCACTGCTTTTATATTACTTCTAAACGGTTTATGTAACATTATTTATTAAATTTGACTAAATACAATTAAAATAATAATTCAATATTTTAGCATAAGCAAAAAAGGTTGTACCGCGCAGTCACGTACATATATAATACGTATCATTCTAATACGCAACCCATCTTTTTGCCTTGCCTGGGCTAAGTTGTTACCATTTTCACCAAAACAATTATGGGGGATTAAAGCACAGTTGGTACTGTTACTCCTCCCCTTAAAATAAGCTAGCTTTGAGTTTTTTGAAATTACCCTTTGGTCCGATTTGAAAATTGTTCACGACGGTGCTTAAGGGGGCTAAGCGACATATGTATACCAAATCTGGTCGAGATCGGTGAAGTAGTTTATGACTGGGGCGGTGTCACGCCCATTTTCCAAAAATTATATCGAAAATCAATTTATTGCCAATAAAGAGCCATGGTATGTGGGCAATTCTCACAAACTTCGAATTTTTTTGTGATTTTTTTCTGAAATCGTGCGCACGTGTCTGAAATGTTTAGTATACTTTCCACCAGCTGCTGGCAGAGATCGAAAATAACTCTCTCCACTTACTTTGTATGGGATTTATCACTGACGCAAACACACATCTGTGCGATCTTTTTGTGTTTTCTGTTGTAGATTATTTATCAAGTGCTTAAATTTCCCTTGGGCAAAGACCCTTTGCTAACAAGTGCTACTTTGGACTAAGTAGGCAATTCAGGAGTAAAGTCCTCCCTCGACGCATGAAAACCACACTCTATAAGTCACTCATCATGCCCGTGCTGGTATATGGCGCAGAAGCATGAACAATGACAACATCCGCTGAGGCGGCTCTTGAAGTATTCGAGAGAAAGATTTTGCGAAAGATTTACGGGCCTTTACGCGTTGGCGACGGCGAGTACCGCAGACGATGGAACGACGAACTGTATGAATGACTCAATGTATGAAGACTGAAAAATATAAGTGGACGTACATATATACTACGTTTATACGCACAGAATAATCGACTTAATTGAAAGCGCATTGACACCGTACACATTTCGCTCTAGTGTTTATACTTACGGCTTTATATCGGCATCAAAGTAACCGTCTTCAAAAGCAAACAAAATAAGCTGTTTTCATTTGACATTTTATAAGTTAACATAATGGAAAGTGATACAAATCTAGTTTTATTCGGCATTATAAAATCGTGGCAAAGAAATAGAACGATTATTATTAATCAGCTTTTAAATACTGATGCGATTATTTGGAATTTGAGCGGAACAGCTGATCTCCAATTCGCTTTGCGGTGTTTATACACTCTTTCTAACTGTCTGGAGAAATAAACTACCGATTTGAAATGGAGTGTGAGCCAAAACACTTCGCTCTTTCAAAGCGAATTGAAATTCAGTTTATACATATGTTTTGAATCGCGGCGAAATGCATTAAAGCGACTTATGCATGCGTATAAACGTAGTAATATAAGTTGAAGCAAAGCGTTAGGCTCTTCTTTAAGGAACCATCATAAAATTAGGACTATTTCTGGATTTTTAACTTTTTGATATTTTCTTCCCCAACTTTGACTATCTCGGGTGAAAAAAAAATGTACTGAGCTATAACTTTACATTACATAAAAAAAATTGCTTATTTAATAAAGATTTCAGAAAGGTGCCACACTTACTGTTTTGAAAAGAAAAAAAAAAGTTATAGCCGCTTTTGTGGGTAAAGGACTGAGACACGCTAGAATCTATTTAATAGATTTAAATTGAATTTGCTCTTGTTACCGTCAAATGACATGCTAAATAGTACAAAGGTACATAATTACTTGCTTCTGACATTATTTTATGTTACTTACCGGAATTCGGACTAGAGTCTATAACAAGGGCTATATCTATCAATATTTTGTGTGAAGGATGGGTTCACGTGAAATAAGATATACATGAGTTGTTTGAAGAAAAATTTATTCATTTATTGATAAAATATGCTCAAATTGGCGAACTTCTACTCTAATATAAGCTCGGCACCTTTTAAGAAAATACGCTTTTAGAGATCTTAAACTCAATTGGGCTATCTCAGCAGCAGCTCCATTTATTTGTTCCCGCAAATGCTCTTCGTTGTGAATTGTTTTTGAATAAATTTTGTCCTTAAGACAGCCCCAGTAGAAAAAATCTAATGGATTCAGGTCTGGCGATCGAGCGGGCCACGTGATTGGCCCGTATCGTCCAATCTATCGGCGAAGATAAGTTTCGTCTAAATGAGCTCTTACTTCACGCCCGTAGTGAGCAGAGCACCGTCATTTTGCAGCCATAGTTTTCGCCGCAGGTTTAAGGCTACATCTTCCAAAAGAGTTGGAAGCCGTTCCTGAAGGAACTCTAAATAACTGTGAGAGTTGAGCGTTGGCCTCAGTTCCACAGGTCCCAATATCTGACAATTAAAAATACCGCACCATAAATTTATTTTGTACCGGTACTGCGAACGATCTTCTCTCATTTCGTGAGGATTGTCTATCTGCCAACTGTGAAGGTTATGTAAATTAAAAGAACCATCACGTTTGCATGATGATTCATCGCTCCAAATTATTTTATTACAAAAAATGGGGTCTGATTCATGCATTCGCAACATTTCACGGCAAAATCTAACTCTCGACAGGTAATCTCTTTCTTGTAGAGCCTGAACACGTTGAATGTGCTATGGATGAAATCGATGGTCTTGTAAAGCTTTGTGAACTGTAGTTTTTGGTATTCCCGTCCGTCTTTCCATCATTCTCACTGAATTCGATGGACCTAGTTCCACTTCCTCTAACACAGCTTCAACATCTACCGTTGCAGGACGTCCTGTTTCGCCGCCACGCCTTCCAGGTATGCGACCTTAAAAAAGTGAAAAATGATAGTTAACAAAAATGCAAAGAAGAAAGGTGTAAAAATTACTTACCTTCATATATTTCTCTATGGGTCCGGGCGAATACTTCACGACCCGGATGTCGACGATTGGGGTATCGCTCTGCATAGAGTCTTTGAGCAGCTCTGGCATTACACCAAGCTTCACCGTAAATTAGGTGAATATCCGCATATTCATGCGACGTATACTGCGTGTTCTCTGTCATAGTATTAATAACACAATGTTCGAAGGGTCCAATTTCATAAAATCCTCTTTCACTAATTCCGGTAAGTAACACAAAATAATGTCAGGAGCAGGTAATAATGTACATTTGTACTATTTAGCATGTCATTTGACGGTAACAAGAGCAAATTCAATTTAAATCTATTAAATACATTCTAGCGTGTCTCAGTCCTTTACCCACAAAAGCGGCTATAACTTTTTTTTTTCTATTCAAAACAGTAAGTGTGGCACCTTTCTGAAATCTTTATTAAATAAGCAATTTTTTTATGTAATGTAAAGTTATAGCTCAGTACATTTTTTTTCACCCGAGATAGTCAAAGTTGGGGAAGAAAATATCAAAAAGTTAAAAATCCAGAAATAGTCCTAATTTTATGATGGTTCCTTAATATATTTTAACTACATTGCATTTGAGTATGGAGTGGCAACTATCTGGAAGTATTTTACATAAAAAATTTACTAAGTATTGCCCGGTTTGTAGTTGCAGTTAAAGAAAACACATGAAAAGGCACGATTTTTTTTAAATTCGAAAAAATGTAAATATTTCAAAAACGGTGACACTTTTACCTGAAAATTTTTTGTTTATCAGTGAGCTCACCCCCC